GCCCCCTGCCCCTGCTTACGCCACTGCGTGTGGGGATTGGCTCAGTCAGTCCCTGCATGCTGAGATAAACCCAGCAAGGCGTTTCGGCTGGCGGGCCACATTTACGAGCCTGGTGGGCCAGATCCGGCCCAGGGGCTATAGTTTAGGGACACCTGGTCTAGTGCCTAAACCCTGGAGAGCTGCTATAAGTGGGTGCAAACAGTACTGAGTTAAATGTGACTTGGTATAAGGGTGTGTCCTAAGTGCCCCAAGTCAGACTCTTGGTGCCCCTAGTTCTGCTGCCTGGCCAAGCCTGCAAAAGCAGTGGGGAGAGAGGTGCACAACAGTTTGGGAAGGACCTTCCTGAATGCAATTTCCGTTGCCTTGCACCCGACCAGGCCCACACATTATTTTTGCATGGTGTTCCGCTTGCAGATCACTCCACCTCTTGCACCGGATGACACCACATTTCTTTGGCAACCAAGTTTTCAAAGCGGGACTTGCTTTTCCAAAACCTGTTTGCTTTTTCTTGGTTCCTTCTGCAGCCCTGACAGCTGGCTGGCTCTCTGAAGACACTGGGGCCCACAGGCAACAACCTCAAGGGTTTATTATTCCTTTTGGAATTGCTCTGGAACTCTTTGCTGAGGCCAGCAGGGGCCGCCCCAAGGGGCCGACATCCGCCTCTCTCCAAACATCCGCTACTGCAAAGCGTCAACTTTGAATCCCAAACAGAACTCTTCCTGTTTTGGACTTCCAAAACTCCCTCCGGGCTTGCACCTCTCAGGGGGATTCCACTTACATATTGTCTTCAGCAGGATAGAAGCCCACAGGACACCTTCCCCTCATTAAGGCAGGACGTTAAATATCAAGAGCTTGGATGAAAAGCTGGCCAAAAGCTGGAGCCATTCGGGGGTGCAAGGCTGGGAAGGCCCTGAGAACCATGCAGGGCCAGGGCTGGGAGGCAAGAGGGGATGGGCTGCCGACACCAGATAAGAACACCAACAGGAAAATGTCCATTAAGGAGAGCATTGAGAAGAGTCTGGGAGCGCCAGCCACAAAAGGCTGATGGGGAGGGCAGGCTTGAAGAGGCTGTGGGAGAGAAAGAAACTTTGGCTCACCTCCAGGATTCAGCTGGCTGGAAAAGACCCCCCACCTAAGACCCCGGGGCAGCTTTCCACAACCTGGTGCCCTCCAGGTGCTATGGACTCCCAGCTCCCATCAGCACCAGCTGAAGGGAGTTGAGAGTTCAGAACACCAACTTGGGGAAGGCTGCCTTTGTGAGCCACTGGCAGTCAGGGCTAACTGACTGGCTAAGATCTTCTCTCTGCTCTTGAATGGGGAGGGACCTAACAGCAAACCTGAGGCAGTTTCTTATCAACAAGGGGCTGTGCAATGTGTACTCCATGGACCAACTGCTCACACTTTTAACATAAGCACATGGCTTATGTTGTTAGGCCATTGCTTCTGCTGGGCCCATTCTATCTACCAGTAATTGGTAATCACTCCTCAGGAGATGGGCCTTTCCTAGCCAAGCTCCCTGAAATATTTTAAACCGAAGGTGTCAATGATTGAATGCCTGCAAAGCTCTGCCTCTGAGCATCTGCCAGGCCTTGGGCATAGCCAGGGAGGGGCAGGGAGGGGCAGCTGCCCCTTCCCCAGATCAAGTAAAACAATAGAAATACTTAACTAACTTACCAATCACGATGGTCTTGCCCTCTGCCCCCTGCCCAACAAAAGCCTTGCCCCCCTAACAAAAGTGGCTCTGCACTATCTGAAAAGATCAACTTGCAAAGCACAGAAACTTGCAGCAAAGTATCTGGCCACTACACCCTAATTGTTAGATCTGAAGCTCGACTTACACAGCTCTACCTCTAATGTGCTCCAGTGCTTCCTCTTTCTCAGGCACCGCACCAGAATGCATGGTCCTCACCTGGGAAATCACTGCCCCAGTTTTGCACTGCATAGAGGATCAGAGAATACTTAGGAATGTGTAGTAATTCTTGCTTCTAGGGTGCACACCACTTAGGAACGAAGGAAGCTGCCTTAAACAACGTCAGACCATTGGTCCAACCAGCTCACAATTGTGTACACTTGTTGGCAGTGACTCTCCAGCACTTCAGAGTGAAGGAATTCTCCCAGCCCTGCCTGGAGATGCTGGGGATTGAACTGGGGTGCTCTGCCACAGAACCAAAGCCCTTCCCCACAACTGGAACTGTAAATCTCCTAAGGTACTGTGAGACAAGCCAGTTTCTCCCAACTCTTCCTTCCCTTGACCTGTTGCCCAGTCCTGTTATTTCACTGCTATGGCGTGCAAATCTCATAACTCTCTGTGTGTGTGCACGTACACACGTGTGGGGGAGAATGGAGGACGGTGAGTAATAGGATCAGGGAGGGAATGAGTATAAGGACTTGCTGACTTGGGTAATTGAAGGACCACCATTTAATGGTCAAGCCTGGATTTTTAATGCAAAAGGTACTGGGTTCAACCTACTGCACCACCAGATATGGCTTTGAAAGACCCCATCTTTGATATCTTGGGTGAGTCACTGTGTAGACAACAACGAGATGGATGTGCCAATGGTCTTATATGTAGGGCTGGCCCCATCATTAGACACAGTGAGGCAACCACTTCCAGTGGATACTGAAGGCAGTGGTGGCAACCTCCTTGCTGCTGCCCTGGCCAGTCCCTTCTGCTGGAGGACAGAGCTGTGTATCCTTCACGGTCTCTCCTGGCCAACCTTAATGAGCCTGATGCGATGGAGCATGCCATCCCATCACCAGTGTTGGAATAAGTAAGACGCAACTATAAGTCCAGTTGGTTTCTGCACACAGCATGGGCGGGAGGCACCATATTGTCCTTCACCTCAAAAGCAAAAATGTACTGGGCCAGCTCTGGTTATAAGACAGCTTCCTGTCTGCAAAGGTTTCTACCCAGAGTCCACAGGAAGAGTTACCCTATATGTTCAGGATAAAATGTGCAGAGCAAGCAAAGAAGAGCCTTCAGCTCTACAACCTACACAAGAGGATGAAGGCAGCTTTGCAAGCAGGTGTCTTCTTTTCTGAGGGAGCTCAGATATGCAGGTGTTCAATATTGCGGCTCAGGTGGCAAGGGTGATCTTGGGTCACTTACCATCGCTCAGCCTAAGCTATTTCAAAGGGTTGTTATGGATTAAAATTCAAGGGGATGGAGAACCATGTCTAATGCCTTCAGCACTTTGGAGGAATTGAAATGTGCCGTCTCTTCCAGGACAACTAAATATATTGGCTTCTGATTTTTGTAGTTCACACATTGTGTTGGGCTCTGCCAGTTCAGGAGTCAACTTGTTATAACAATTCAGATTTAAGGAAGTCTGTGAACCATAGAGTCCAGTAAGGTTACTTACACTACTATCTATTTTAACGTAAACTCAAATTTACCAAAATTTGATCCTAATGTTTTTTCAACTAACATAACCAAGATTCTCAAAGTATCATGGAAAACTTATTCTTGCTATAACATACCTTCTTTTAAAAAGTAAACTGCTAAAGGAGACGAAAGGGCAAACATATTGGAGATAACAAAACAAACATCTATATTTGTAATATCAGCTGTGATTAAGTATCCCAGAAATAACTGGCTCTGAAATATGCAAGATGTGAAGCTTATGTTCTTAGAAAGCATAATAACAATAATTATTTAACAAAAATTTATTACCGGTTTCCATTTTTGGAGGAAAAGCTAGATATCAAAAATAAAGCCACCTCTCCCAATCCTGACACAGCCTGAGGTCTTTAAATAGAGAGAATGACGATTACAAGACCCTTTATGTATTTAGAGGCAGCTAACTTGGCACTTTGGATTAAACCACTGTGCCGCTTGGGCTTGCCGATTGAATGGTCGGCGGTTCGAATCCCCGCAATGGGGTGAGCTCCTGTTGTTCGGTCCCAGCTCCTGCCCACCTAGCAGTTCGAAAGCACGCAGTGCAAGTAGATAAATAGGTACCACTCTGGCAGGAAGGTAAATGGTGTTTCCGTGCACTGCTCTGGTTCGCCAGAAGCAGCTTAGTCAAGCTGGCCACATGACCTGGAAAAAATGTCTGTGGAAGCGGACCAACGCCAGCTCCCTCAGCCTTTAAAGCGAGATGAGCGCCACAACCCCAGAGTCGTTCGCGACTGGACTTAATTGTCAGGGGTCCCTTTACCTTTACGTAACTTGGCTAAAGAATGGAGAGAGGAGAAAAGGTTGGCAGTAGAGCACAAACAGAAGGTTCTGGGTTCAATCCATGTTATATCCAGTTATTATTGATTATATTTGCTGCTTTCTTCACAAATGTAAAGTAGCTCGCAACGTAAAAGCAAAACGCTTAAGGCTGGGAAACTCTCAGTCAAGAAAGTTAGGGTGCATTTTCACTCCCTGGCACAAGTGGGATATTGTGAACATTTGGCTGGTCCCACCTCTATGGAGAGACAGCCCCATTGTAAGGCATGGAAAACTAGCTGCGCATACCATGCAGCTATTGTCAGTCATTGGATGTCAATGTCTCCTGGGTGACATATTGCCACATTGTCGAAGCACTTGGACAAAAGGGTCGAGGAGCCCTGTTGCAGCCCACAGAGAGGGCCATCTGGTTAAGTCTTGAGCTGTTTACCCATTCCGTAGCTTCCGCTCCCCGCAGAGCCTAATGAGCGCCTAGCAAATATTTCCTACTCAGAGGGCAAAGACACAAGGTGCTAATGCAGAGCAGATGGCTGAACATCACCGCAGAAAGGAATTTCAAAGAGAAATAGGTTAAGCGTAGGGAAGGCCAAGGAAGAAAGCTCAGTTGCTAGAGCTAGGATTAGAAGTTCAGAAGGTTTAACAAGGCACACTAAGATACAGTGTGCATGGAAATAACTGTTGTGGAAACTATTTACGGGGGGGGGGAAGAATACTAAATGAGCCCCACATTCATAGCCTTCACAAAGAGTCTGCACAGTCCGCCCAGTGACAGTGGGGGGGAGAGCATTCCCATAACAACAAAATGTGGTGTCCAGGAGACCTTTGTGTGTGCACTTTATATATATATATATATATATATATATATATATATATATACACACACACACACACACACACACACACACACCACCCTCTTAAAAGTTGTTTCCGTCCTGAGCTTTGCTCAAAAACATTTTGTTTTAAATAAAACATGCCAGCCTGGATAAACATTAGACTCTGATGAACACAGGCTGAGCAGACACGGTTGGTCCTCCTATAACGACCTCTTTGTAAACACTAAGGAAAATTTCAGCCCAATTTGCAATTGGAGAGGTTGGCTGATTTGGGTCAGCAAAGTCCCTGCTTGTGGACTTTGAAGGCATAAACAGAGTTAAGGTTGAAGCAGTTTGGTTTTCGCTCTGGTACTTGTACCTTTTCAAGCAATTAGGAAGGTCCTGTACAGCAGGAGTTTCAGAAGGTGCGAATTAGGTAGGTTCGCCTTTACATGGTGAAGTCTGATTTGATTTTCTTCCCCATCCCTAGTTAAAGATGAGGTAAGTGCAGTGCTGTGCCATACCATGGTGACAACAGTTTTCCCCACCCTTCATATTTTGAAAGCCATAGCAGAGGGTCTCTTGACCTTCAGGAGCAGCTTTTTGAAGAGGCAAGGGGGATGCTTGGCAGCTCCTTAGGATGCAGCATTATGTAGAGTCACACCATTCGTCCAGCCAGCTCAATGTTGTCTACATGGACTGGAAGCTGCTCTCCAGGGTTTCCAGCTGGCTTCTCTCCAAGCCCTACCTGGAGATGCTGGGATTGAACCTGGGAGCTTCTGCATGCACCACCCTTTCCCTCTGCATTTGGGAGACACTGGAGAGGGACCATAGCTCTGTGCCATGGACATCAAGTACTTGAGACAGCCAGTGTTGTGTAGTTGTCAGTGTGTCATGCTAGATCCTAGGAGACCAGGGTTTGAATCCCCATTTGGCCATGAGTCTCACTGAGTAATCTTGGGCAAGTCACCAACTCTCAATCTTACCTACCTCACAGGGTTGTTGTGAGGATTATATAGAGGGAGGAAAAAAGGACAATGCATACCATCTCAAGGTCCTTGGAGGAAAAGTGGGATAAAAATGCTACAATATTTTTTTAAAAAAATGCAGGTGACAGGTTCAATCCCAGGTATCTCCAGTTGAGAGGATCCCATGTAACAGGTTTCGGAAAATCTTTTGCCCAAGATCCTGGAGAACTACCAGCTATGAACTGAGGGCACTTCCCCTGTTGGCATTAGCAAGGGCCTTCCAACTCCACCAGGATCATCAATAAGTGAAGAGGTATGTTAATGACAAAAGCGTTAATGAAAATCTCTGAGTCAACACAGCTGTGCTGAAATTTTATATGCATGCAGGGCAGCTTGACCCTTAATGACTAAGCTCCATTTTATCCCATTGCTGTTCATGGATTAGAGTTAAATATTTGTTTTCTTCGGGGGAAACGTGGTGACATTACACCAGAGTAAGACAAGGCAAGAGTCATTTGCAAAACTGATGACTGACTCTGTCCTTAACTTACCTCATAAGGATCTGAGTTTGCAGGGCAGGGAAGGAGCAACTGAGAAAGAAAGACCTCAGCATTAACTGTGTTGGCTGCAATATCTGCCCAGAGACAGAGGGGCAGAGGGGTTGCATTTTCATCTTGGACTGCATTGACATGGCTTTGGAAGAGATCACGACTTTTCTATTACCTTCTACACAGTAGTCATTGTTGGTGTATAAAACAAGGCAGGGGAGGGCTTTATATATGTACCAGGCATGACTGTTTAGGATGTGAGACAGAGCCTTTTCTGTGGCTGCAGAGAAGTTTGGTGTTTCCCAAACTGTGGTATCCCAGAGATTGATTCTTGCTCTTTTGACTGTTTGTTGCCTGGTTAAATGCAGGTGTACATTTAAAGCACATTCAACACACAATTAAAGCACACAGCTTCCTCCAGAGAATCCTGGGAACTGTAGTTTCCCCTCACAGAACTACAATTCCCAACACACTTAAGAAACTAAGGTTTCCAGGATTCTTTGGAGGAGGTCATATATTTCAAATGTGTTTTGGATGTGCTTTAAATGTGTGGAGTGGATCTGCCCTTAGACTTTATTTTCTTTATTGGAGCAGGCATTTGACTGGAGTATTATTAATCTGTTGTGCCAGTATATTTATATGAGTTAACAGCATTATTAATATTTTAATCATGCAACCTGTTCTGGGTGGAACAGCCCTCATCCCGAAGGACTAGGTTTGCAGTTTGGAGGTGCTATTCGACCTAGTGGCTGTTGTGAACACAATAAGAGCCTTGATGAATCAGGCCTGTGGCCCATGTAGTCTAGCATGCTGTTCTCATGTATCAGGTGCCTAAAGGAAGCCTGCACACAGGGTCTGGGCACAACAGCACTCTCCCCACTTGCGATTCTCAGAAAATGATACTGACAGGCATTTACTGTCTCTGAGAGTGGAGGTGGTGCAACAGCGAAGATGACCTCTGAAGTCCCTCCAAACTCTATGATAGAAAAATGAAATAAAATCAGCTCAAGCAGGCTAGGAGAAGTCTATTATAATCTTAAAAAGCAATGTCTCTCAAACGTTTCTGAAACTGTCCCTTCCTAAAACAGGGTCACTGCAATCCCTGCTTCTGGCAAGGGTTCTTTACAGCTGTGGCTTGAACTCCATCGCTTCCAACCGCTCTTCATTCAAAGTTAAATCACCTGATGTCACATGACATAAGGGGAATGGCAGGTAGGCAGCAACACACACACTGTGTAAATTAAAAGAAAAACAGATTGACAAGGACTTGTGGTCCTCCAGGATGGATAGCTCAGTTGGTTAGAGTGTGGTGCTGAGAATGCTAAATTTGCAGGTTCGATCCCCATATGGGACAGCTTCATATTCCTGCATTGCAGGGGGTTGATGATCCTCAGAGGTTCCTTCAAACTCTATGATTCTAAGAAAATGTGGCCAGCAGGCTCAGGTAAACTTCCTCCATGGGGTCAGTTTGCACATGGTGGTGCGGAGAGTCTGCAGTCTGAATCCAAAACGCTATGCTCTTTGCTGTGCTCCCCCTACTTTATTGTCATGGTCTGGAAGTGATGGACCTCCTCCTGTACCACTTTTTGTTTTCTACAAAAATTGTAAATTTTTTTTAAGCTAAAGATGGAGGGGGGAGACTGGAACTTTGTACAGTTGTACGATTGCTTGTGAGGTTAGGATTGAGAGGGGAAATCCTAGATGTTGCAGATCAGACAGCTGTTATCTAGCTCAGCAAACAACAACACCACCACCACACACACACACATGGTAGCAACTGCCATCTACGCCATGTTTACATAGCAGATCAAATGCTGCTCTTCTCTCTCAGCTGAGGAGCAGAAAAACAACAGTGCACTGCAGCATCAGAAGCAGGCCTCAGACAAAAGTGGGTCACTGGTTTTGGTTGCCTAGCACTGCTTGTGGAGCAGTAGAGCAAGCTGAGTGACAGGCTGGGCGCTCCACTAATGCTTTGCATGCACATTCTGCACTGCTAAGTCACCGAAGCTGTTGGTGTGCAGTTGCTTCTCATACAAGCATGTGTGTATACACACACCCCTCCCAGAGTGCCAGCCGATTGATTTTTCAAAGCACTCAATTCCAGAGGGACGGTAGACATGACACGCATTTCTGACGTGTTCCACCGGACGCTGAGTGAGTGACCTGGGCAAACAGTTCAATACAAAGACTTTCATGGTTTATGCTTCAGTATTTACCAGTTAGGTTGGTAATACTACTACAGATACTGCTATTACAGCAGCAGCAACAACAACAACAACAACAAAGTTTAATCAGTTAGATTAATTAACTTTTCAAAACCAAAAAATGACCAATTCAATCTAGGGCATCTATTCTGAAATTGCAGAAGGGCATTGGTAGTGCATCTACTTTGCATGCAGAAGGTCCCAGGTTCAATCCCCAATGGCATATCCAGGTGGGAGAGGGAAAGGCTCATGTTTGAAACCCTGCTGAGTTTCTGCCAGCAGTGTAGACTGAGATTCCTGCGTTCCTTAGATGGGGCCCACTGTATCATATGCAAGATACGTTGCTTAGTTGTATTCAAAAAGATGCAGATTTAATTGATTAATATAGTTAATTATGAAAATTATGCACACAAGTTTTAAGAAACAGAGATACTCTACATTTGAAAGTGACATCTCATAGATGTAACATGTTATATATTCGTTAAGTAAGGCTATATCCAAGACCATTTGCTCCAGAACTGGGGACATAAATTTGCCAGAAGAGGCTGACTGGACTACGTAGCCCAGTCTCCAGAGAACTTTGATCACTAAGGTACATTTCCAGACCCCAGACAATGACCAAAGGAAGCCACCACAGTGCCCTTCAGGTATTTTGGACAACTCCTGTTTGCCACAGAGTTGTGGCTTGTGGTCAGAGACAATGGGAATTGTAGTCTGACAACATCTGAGGAGCTCTATGGCTATTCTTGAAAGCAGCATGGTCTTTTGAGAATCTAAAAGCAATCTTTTAGTCTGAATAGGCATGTTCACACATTACATTCAACCACTGTGCAATGTGTGTATGCAACAATTTGTAGTTACCCACATGTAATGTTCAACATGTGTATTTTAGTTTTTATTTATATTAGTTTCTTCTATCTTATTGTATCATGAAAAAGTTTTAATAAAATATTATTTTTTAAAGTTTATGTTTTTATTAAGATCAGTTTCTTTTATATTATTTTATTATGAAAAGGCTTTAATAAAATCTTATTACAAATAATGTAAAACATGGGTAGTTTGTGTACACAATAGTTGAACTATACGAATCAACAAGCGTACACTCTTTCAAACAAACACCTGTACATGTGAGGAGTAGAGAAGGCTTGTAAAGTGGGCTTTCCTGTGGAGCAATGACTTAAGTCATGACCTTCTCCCTGTAGAAACAGCAAGTCGGCTATTCACCCAAGGACATCCAAGGACACCCAGTGACTTACTAAGATGCTGACTTCCCAGGAAAGCAAGGCTGCTACTAACACAGTTGGCCTTATAGCATAAACAGATGTGCAATACAAGGAGCCAGGCAACATGGAAGTCACATGAAAAATATT